GACTTATAGAGTGTAACAGTCTGGTTCTGGAGATTAAAGGAGATAAAGATATCCCTTATTAGACTTTTTAAAAATCCCTATGGGAAATACGCTACTCCTGGAAAAGTAGGCGGGCACTGTTGCACTCTATAGTTGTTTATATTAAACTGAGACAAGAGAAAGTATTTAACATTAAAACGACACATTTCATTTTTAAAAGCATCTCCATGTATCATAAATGACAATAACATTTCTCACCTTGGCCTCAAGGATTCTCTTGCGAGCTTTCAGTTCTGCTACGGCCTTATTGACATCTACTTCAGGAGTGTTTTCTGCCTTCAGTTTACGCACAAGATCCCCCTATGGATGAATAAACAACACAAAATGCTGTTTATTATTATGACTCCTAAATATTAGAATACAAATGCATCCATCAACATTTCCCAGAAACAAGTCGAGTTTCGTTTTAACGGTGTGTGATTTCCTCCCCCCGCAGTCTCCACTGTGTCAGAACGACTCGTATCAAACGTGGCACTGACAGACTGAATCATCCAGCGGTATACACTCATAATAAAGCCACCACCCTGTCAGATTACCTAAAAACATCACTTTAGCAAAAATGCATTATGTAGTTTTTCATAACAAAACATTTAAACTGCTTTGCATAATTTAAAGAGACACGTTTGATTCCTAAATCATGGCTCTACTACGCATAAAAAGCAAATAGGTGTTTGCATGGCTCTGTGAAACAATAATGCAGCACATTTATATGCTTGTTACTGTCTTTCATAATCGTGTTACCTGCTCCTTCACTGCTAGCCTCAATGGAGCCAGAACCTCTTCAATACTGCCATCCATATTCTGCCCTTCCGTCATCTCCAGCCACGCGCTTCTCTTCTTCTTCTTGCACAAACAGCCCGACAGGGAGAGCGCTCTGATCGGAGAGGAACCACACAGGCGTATGGGACTGGATCGGACCCTCGGAACCGCGCGGACGGTGGCGATCTGTGTACCGGTCCTGAGCAGGAGTGCTGATGTTGCGCTCCGCAGAGACAGCATGGACCGAGAGGAGGAGCAGACACACCGCGGAACTGAATGATGAAATCCCCAGAAATGAGTAAGTGACGGCGGGGATCCAGTTCGGTACTTTCGCCATGTTTCTTTGTGTCTATTTGGAATGGAGTTCAATTGAAAAATGTCAGATTCGTCACAATCTCTCTGCTTTACTCTACGATTATCATTAGATATAGTGCAAATAAATAAATAAATAAATTTCGCAATAAAAGGTGCGAAATAATAATAAAAGAGCGAAGTACAAATAAAGTGCTTCTTGTATTATTAAATATTCTGTAGTGTTTGTTATGTATTCATCTTGATTTCTTGAAGTCCCCATATTGGGTGGGTGGGTAAGTAAATAAATAAATAAACATGTACCACCACATGACATTTTTTTTTATAAATAATAATTATATAATGTGTTATTAATTATGAATCACTTATTGGATTCCACACCTTGTGAATGAATGAATGAATGATAAATAAATAAATAGTAATGCTTTTAAAAGTAACAATTGATGATAAATAATTTGTAACACTGTATAATACATCATATATTACAATAAATATCATACATTACAATAAGTTAAACACATTCGAAATACAGCTACATAATATAACTTCAAAACAAGAAAATAATCACTCCATTGTTCTGAAACTAGAAGAACAGTGGATTTGGGCCTAATTGAAATGATATCAGTGACTGGGCACTCAAGAAATAAAGTCAGCTCTTGACAATTGACTTAATTTGTAGTTGTAGTTATGCATGACCATTATTAGTACTGTTACAGTACTGATTTTTTATTTCAAATAACACCTGGTCAGCTTCTTCTATTTACAATTAATTCACTGCAGAATTCACTATTGCAGTTACCGTAGGTGGGGGGAGTAAATGTACAGCACTCTCTCCCACCTTCAATACCACGACTGAGGTGCCCTTGAGCAAGGCACCGAACCCCCAACTGCTCCCCGGGCACCGCAGCATAAATGGCTGCCCACTGCTTCGGGTGTGTGTTCACAGTGTGTGTGTTCACTGCTGTGTGTGTGCACTAAGGATGGGTTAAATGCAGAGCACTAATTCCAAGTATGGGTCACATACTTGGCCACATGTCACATCACTAAATCCTGTAGCAAACAAACACTTTGTCTGATGTTTGTTAACCTCCAGTCTCAAAATAAAAAAAGAAAGAAAAGAAAAATCGAAAGTTTCTAATTCTAGTTATTGAAAGTTCATAATTCTAGTTTTAGTTCATTGCATGGCTCAGGACCGACCCACGTTGACCAGGCTCTGCATAGTAGGTCCAAGCTCTGCAGTAATTTCCTGTGGTTCCCACTGCTTCCTGTGCTCAGTCTGGAAATGTACAGTAAAGGGAAACAGGAGGGACATAAAGATGTATAAACTGTATCAGTGCGGTAGCAGAACATTGAGAACTTCACTATGATGGAGTGCAGCTAATACATTGCACCCAATGATGAATAGTGTAGAGTTCCAAACCTGAGAAGTTCAGGATATTACTGTTAACAGTGTTATGATTCTAGATATAAATGATATCAGTGACTGGGCACTCAAGAAATAAAGTCAGCTCTTGACAATTGACTTAATTTGTAGTTGTAGTTATGCATGACCATTATTAGTACTGTTACAGTACTGATTTTTTATTTCAAATAACACCTGGTCAGCTTCTTCTATTTACAATTAATTCACTGCAGAATTCACTATTGCAGTTACCGTAGGTGGGGGGAGTAAATGTACAGCACTCTCTCCCACCTTCAATACCACGACTGAGGTGCCCTTGAGCAAGGCACCGAACCCCCAACTGCTCCCCGGGCACCGCAGCATAAATGGCTGCCCACTGCTTCGGGTGTGTGTTCACAGTGTGTGTGTTCACTGCTGTGTGTGTGCACTAAGGATGGGTTAAATGCAGAGCACTAATTCCAAGTATGGGTCACATACTTGGCCACATGTCACATCACTAAATCCTGTAGCAAACAAACACTTTGTCTGATGTTTGTTAACCTCCAGTCTCAAAATAAAAAAAGAAAGAAAAGAAAAATCGAAAGTTTCTAATTCTAGTTATTGAAAGTTCATAATTCTAGTTTTAGTTCATTGCATGGCTCAGGACCGACCCACGTTGACCAGGCTCTGCATAGTGGGTCCAAGCTCTGCAGTAATTTCCTGTGGTTCCCACTGCTTCCTGTGCTCAGTCTGGAAATGTACAGTAAAGGGAAACAGGAGGGACATAAAGATGTATAAACTGTATCAGTGCGGTAGCAGAACATTGAGAACTTCACTATGATGGAGTGCAGCTAATACATTGCACCCAATGATGAATAGTGTAGAGTTATAAAACCTGAGAAGTTCAGGATATTACTGTTAACAGTGTTATGATTCTAGATATCAATATGTGTGTCCTGAGCTGTCAAGGTTTCACTGAGACTATAGCAGCCAAAATGTAATAATGAAATAAATGTTCATGATGTACCCTTCCCAACAAAAAATCAAAGAAATGTGTACTAGATAAAATAAGTAAAACATGTGATTATCATTGACATTAGCATCAGTAGTAATTACTCGATTAACACTTTACTGTCCGACCACAAGATGTCAGTATAAGCACACATTTAAATAGTGCCTCATATTTAGCAACTGTGGAATAACAGTAAACTAAATAGTTAATCTAGTTTATAATCTAGTAAAATAGTTAATCCGTTTATTTTTTCTAAAGTCATTCGCTACAAAGTAAACACTATCATTTCTATATCATTGATATAAATGTAATTTATTCGTTATATGCCATTATTAACCTATTTTTATTCCAAATGTGGCCAGAGGAATATTCTGTATTTTGAATCTTTTATTTTGAGTAAAAATAGAACAGATATTCATCAAAAATCCTATGATTAATTTAGCAACTCAACAGCATCGACCAACAAGCACAAGATATGTCTTTTAATGGTCTGTTGGCATTATGTATATTTACATTATTTATAACATTATTTATAATATGGATAATATATAATATGCATTATTATTTTAAAAAGTGAGCAGAGAAAGTAGAAAATGTGATAAGGTATTTAAATAGGCTGTAAAACTAGTTGAAGTGATGGTTGCATCACACAGGCTGCCTTATTAAACATTAAGATCAAACACCCACCTTCATAAAATATTCAGTAACCCTCCCATCTCTCTCTGTCATTAAATCATTTCTGAAATTTCTCTTAGTATCTCAGCAAAATCATTTCCCTTTTAAACCATAGATGCCTACTTAATGTGCTATTGATTAGATCGATTTCAGCATCTGTCCACTTTTTAGATTCTTTAAGTCTAATGGTTTTATAGGCGAGGGTTCCGGGTTATTAGGTTTGAGATGTGAGTTATGCTGTTGGAAGTGAGCGCTAACAAGATTAATTATGATTCAAACTGTTATTTAAACTTTACTTTAAGAAAAACAAGTCAGAAACCAAAAAAACAACAACAACAAAGTATAAGTGTTTAATTCAACAAGAATTAGATTCGTTATTTTTTCTTGTTTTAAGTGTACAACGTCTTAATGTTTTACATTTAATTGGTTTTAAATAAATTTATTTTGACATTTTTGCTAGAAATAGTTTCATATGTATAGTGTATTTTTTTTTGTTCTAGAAAACGACGAAAAAATTATTATAAATAAAAATTATTTAAAATATTATTTTTGCAGGGCATATATTGCATATATTACGTTTTAAGTTGACACAATATAATAAATTATAATAAATGATAATCAATCAAATTGTAAATGAATCGTTAAAATAAAATTGGATTAAATAAATAGTACATTTATTTATTTAATATTTTATTTAATGTTCAGTGCTACATTTTTGTAAAGTACTTACATGAACGGTTTTTGTCAAATTATCATAATAAATGTAATTATTGTTACCAGGTACATCTCAACCCCCCCCACACACACACACACACGCACACACACACACGCACACGCGTACGCACGCACGCACAAGAGGAGAGAAAGCGCGGCTGCAGATCAGACTCTTTGTTATTACACACTCTGTCACTGATCTCCATAGACCTCAAATCACACGAGGGCTGAGATGTCGCCGATTCCCGCCATCTGACAGGAGTATCTCGTGTCGCACTGCTCGCTGTATGATCATATGTTTATTTGGATGCGCTGGTGTAAGATCGTTTGCGGTGTATGGTGCGTCTGCCATCTGGACTCACACCGCTAGCTCGCTAGCATCAGGCTAGCTGAAAATTATCAAAACATAAGTGACTGAGGAGGAATAAAATCCCGTTTCCATGGACAACACGTCCATCATTACCCAGGTAGCAAATCCAAAGGAGGAAGAGATCCTTTCTTCTTGTCAAGAAAAAGGTAAGGCGAGTGGCCGCTGTTTATTTGACTTAATGTTGGATGGTTTTGTTTTGACAGCGAATCACTGCGGCTTTTCTGCTGATGCTCTTAAGATTTTATTAATCCATACGATTATAAAGACTAATGGTTATTTTCTGGAGTATTAAAAACGTGAAGTTTTCTAACAATAATTTACTATTGTTATTATTACTACTATTGTTATATATATCTCATGTCTCATGCCTTCATATTTGTTATTGGAAAACAAGAGTAAAATTTTGAATAAGAAATTGATTGATTTTTGTAGTGTATGTTTGCCAGTTCCTGACTGAGAATATCAAAACAAGTGTTTCCAGCCTGCTGCCTTCTTTTCATGGTATTAAGCAGCAATCTGTTTGACATGAATGCACTGTACTTGATCACAGTTATTTTCCTAAGCATCAGAGCAAACAATCTTAATGCCTGTGCTCGAGCCATGTTAAGTGGATCAAATTATTTAATTCCACTGAACCTGAACTCAAAACATTGTAAAACTGGCTTTGCCATTTTTTAGCTTTTCTGTGCTAAGCTTGTTCTCTGTTCAGATATGTACTGTATAGAGCTGTATGGTCACTCCTGATGAAGTATCTTTATCATGATTATGAATGTATTTTTCCTGTTTTATGTATAAATCTCTGCATGTCAAATCATGCATTATTGTACTGGTCAGAAGTGTTGATGGTTTTCTCTCTTACTGTGGATGAAAGAATCAGTTTAACTGCTACTAAACATTTAATAATGTAACGGTGTGTTTTACTTAAAGCATTTTAATTTTAAACCATCGCTTCTGGTCAAAATACCAGTCTGCTTCCTCCAGTGAAAAAGACCATCCCCTGTTGTCCTCTCACATCAAAATCCACCGACATATTTGTCTAGAACTGTTTTTGCTTGTAAATGGTGCTTGATCTGTGCATGCACCTTTCTCTTCTGATTCAGACCAGATTAATTTTTCACTGGAGAAAGCAATATGGATAGAGGACTCATGTTTTAGCCTGAAACAATGGTTTGAAGTTATAAACGTCTTGATGGATTCATTTATTACTAACACACAGTTGTCTCAGTTGATTTTCTGTTTGAATTTTGCAGCGCTTCTAAATTAAGATTTATTTTACTCAATAAAGTTTAGTGAGTCTGCCCAGCAAATCAATATCTCCTCTAGCCTGGCACTTTTCCCAAGTGCTCTTGACACGTTTTGAGTTGTTGTGGTCACCATCTGAAGCCTAATGCGGTTAAACCCCTGTTTTTTTCTGGTGTGTTAGTTGATTGAAACAATGTGGTATCAAATTCTAATTGAATTCCAGAGCACTTCCATAGATCACGCGGGGGAAAAAACTCCTACTTATACAGTTATCAGTGGCTTTTTATAATTGCTTCTTCATTTAGCTAGTTCTCAAGAGAGCGTTTAGCCCCATGGAGGTCTAGTGCCTGCTTAAGTCAACACAACACGCACTGATGTGAGATGAAGTTATGAGATTAGCCCAAAACAAATTAATGCGAGTAAATAAATCTTGCAAATTATTTTCATGTGGCTTTTGCCTGCTTTTCTGAGGATAACGACACAATATAAACATTTTACAGCCACTTAGAGCACAAACAGATGGTAGTCCACATGTTGGGGGTCTTAGAAGAGAGAGGAGCAGAAGGACGGGGTCTGGTTTTGGGACGTAAAGCCACCTCTCACTGCTTCCCTGCAATGAAGTTAGATAAGTTGGTTGAGGATCCCTCCACTATGAGAAGTCTCCCATAGAGGATCACATGACAGAGGAATCCCTCATGCCCTGATATCAGTATCTTCACGAACAGTTAATAAACTCTTTGATTTAAGATGAGAAAGGATGTCGCTAAGCTTGAATTCTGAGATGTGGTATCTTGCAGTAAAAATGTTGGTTTCCCATGCTTGGCTCCAGAGATTAAGTGCAAAGCAGGGGTCCTGAATTAATCTTAATTTATGCACGTCAATGTTTAAAGAGCAGCAAAGCATACACTCGCAAATCAAGCCATAGCTGCCACCGCTTATTGGAGTGAGTAGACCCCCTATGGCTTTATTATTAACATCTTGGTGATTATATGAACAGATTTAGGGTGATTGATAAATGAAAATAAGGAATATTATAGGTTTAATACAAGTTAAGTATAATCAGCAACACAAACAATATTCAAAATGTCCTTTTGTTTCTTAAAAAAGTGTACATTTGGGTTAAAGTGAGATAATTACACTGGAAGTGAATGTGGCAAATCTGTAAACATTAAAAGTCTAGATTTGTGAGAAATGGACATACGCAAGAAGACTCAAGTTTTACATCGTCAATCTGTGATAAGTTTGGTGGTGGTGAGTCACATTCACATGCTGAATTAACAGTGGCTAGCAAACAAAAACAGTCTCTAGCATTAATTTTGGTCATGGCTTGACTTAAAAAGTAAATAAAATCGAGTAAAAAAAGAAGACGACAATGTGTGTGGAGCAAGTGGTGTCATTATGTCATCAGGTTCTGTGTTCCTGTTGGTTTCTTGATTTGACCGTTGTCGTACACTCTTAAAAATAAAGGTGCTTCAAAAGGTTCTTCAAGCGATGCCATAGAAGAACCATTTTTGGTTCTACAAAGAACCATTCAGTCAAAGGTTCTTTAAAGAACCATCTCTTTCTTACCTTTTTATAATCTGAAGAACCTTCTCTCGCCACAAAGAACATTTTGTGAAATAGAAAGTTTCTTCAGATGTTAAAGGTTCTTTATGGAACCATTTAGACAAAAAGGTTCTTCTATGGCATCGTGAAGCACCTTTATTTTTAAGAGTGTAGGAGAAGCTACACTGCAGGACTGTGCCTTAAAACTTCTGACACTGGCAGAATTTCATTTGAGGTAAAATTTGATTGCAAAAGTCATTTATCGACTGTCAGCGAACATGTCAAACTAGTGATCAAAGACTATAGATTTTGGCCTAGTATCAGAGGAATCTTTTAGGATTTGTAAAATTTGTCTCAGGAAGCCAAATCGTGGCCAGAATCGCACAGGCATAAAACGCTGAAGCAAACTACAAAAATTGATGATTTAAACAACTTCACAGCTCAACTAATACATAAGTTTAAAGTGTTTATCTTCACATGTCTGCTTTTTCTCCAAAATTGGCCCCAATTACCATTGTAAGTGCCTCACCATTACCTCATTTTTATTCCTTTGTCTTTTTTATAAACAAGGATCGAATTGAACTGAATTTTTTGATGATTTTGTGATAAATTAACTAGGGAGGGCTGATTTTTCGATTAATAGTTTTTTTTAAATGACATCGATTCGATATCAATTCTCAAAAGCCGCGAATCGATCTTTTCTGGTATTTATTTCAGCACATTTAAAACAAGATCTGATTAACGTGAATCTTATCATTAGTCTTCTCCACTAGATGTCACCCTTATTTACATTGCACGATGTTACAACAGAAATCTGTCATTCATTCAGCACTTATCATGGCCATACACGCAATTCGCAATTCTCAGGTGAAATGCTATAGTAATGCTATAAATCTGCGGAAGCATTTGATATCACGCATAAGGCGCCATGATTTCCGCAATGAATGAATGGTGGATGGCGCGGCACACTGTTTTGTTTACTACACACATACTAAAGCGTGGATATCGCTCGCGGTGTTTTCAGCTTCTGCCGTCTCACTATATGATGATATGAACACGAATGTCATCTCCAGCTGCTCTGAGAGTCACTTCATTAGCATTTTACCGTTTCATTTGAGAAAACTACCGTCATATCACATACACAGCAGCTGCAAGTTCTTCACGGCAACCCGTCAAAATAAAAGTTTAGTTTAACTTTCTACTGTCAGAATATATTACTATTTAGCAGTCTTAAGCCTCAATGCTACTACTGCTAATAAGTATTAATAAATCTTTATTTTTAAAGGAGTAATCACATCTGTTTTATTTTTAATTTTAACAGTAAACCTCTGTTGTGCAGTACTTTGCCAAAAAAATAAAAGGGTTTAATTTTCATTATAAATTAAATTAATGTTTTATGCCTTCATCTGATTACCAGAAAAATTAAGAACATTTTATAGGGCCCTACTATTGTTTAAAGAAGACCCTATACAAAAAAAAGAATAGGTTTAAAATACAGGCATGTGGTTCTTAATTTCTTTTTATCAATTCACTATTTGTAAACCAATGTTTACTGTTAATTTTTTTTGAAATATCAATAGCATTTATATTAAAACTATATTCACTGAATGTAATAAAAAAAAAATCGAGAATCGAATCGAGAGCTTGCGAATCGAAATCGAATCGAATCGGGACATCTGAATCGATACCCAGCCCTAAAATGAACCTTACACCACAAATTCTGTCGATTGAACTTAAGTTTTATTGAACCTGGAAGTTTCCTTTAACTTGAAATTACATTTTTAAATGAAATGAAGTCCACTCAGAGGGGTTATGCACATTGACCTTTCATATAAAAAGATAAATGTAACCATACTTAAAACAAATTTGCTTGATGCAGCAATATGGCCAGGAATGCCCATCGCCATTGCAGCCTTTGATATTCAGAGCTTTCTGTGGGATTACATTTAAAGAATCTCATTAAAAGATACCACTGTCTCCTAGCTACAGCTAAAAAAACGAACGAAGCATAGCTTTCGAGGTTTGTCATGCAGAAACGCAACCTCCCCTTTCCAAAAATGAAGCTTTGCCGGTCCCCTCATTAGGTGTAAAGCTTCCCTAACCCAGTGGCCTTGGATGTTGGCCATGCTGAATATTTCAAAGCCAGATGAGGATATTTTTAGAAACCTATCGGTTTCATTGTAAGCAAAGAAGCATCTGACAAATTCATGTCGTGTTTTGAGTGCGGCACTGGTGTTGGTGCTTATAGATTGCACCTTTATGCATAATGGATAGAGTTTAATGAAGTTGACATTGGAATCTCATTGCCGAGGGATTCGGGACAAACGGTGTCACAGGTGATAAAACGAATCCGGTTGTA